TAGCTATTCTGACATGCAGCTGCTGAGAGTGGAAAATGGCATCTCTACAGGAATGATATGTGATGTACATTGTTTATTTCTGTAAATTAGGACAAGCTTTAGGGTGAGGAGGAAACTAGACATGACAAGGAACCTCCAGGGGCACAGGCTGTAGGTCCATGCTCAATATAGCTCTGAGGGATCTATCCCTATGAGATACTTCTGAATTACATTAGGCATAGATTAATGTAGTCTGTGGCTAATAGACCACACTATTCCTTGGTCCTAATCAGTGGGTTTCATGAAGAGCTATTTTCATGAAATTTAAAATATTATCCCTATTACTATATAGTAACTCAAGTCCAAACCCAGTTTGCTGGGTTCCAGGCCACTCTTTAATGCCCCAGGAACCTAAATTAGGATTGCAGTTTCATCTTAAGTTTCTCCAAAACCAGGTGTCATAAACAGCTGTGTGGGTTATCACTCTTTGGTGGAGAAATTTCTTCATTTTTCTAACTCAGTTTGGAGGGCAAAGCAGACCCAGACATGAAACAAACACCTGCCTCTGCAAATCTGGAGATTCAAGGCAGGATGTTGAAATCTCTACGTGTAACCCTCCAGCTAGAATGGTTTAGAAAGCTTATAAACTTCCTACCCACCCACTTCCTACCCTGCCTTGCTAGGCAAGCTATAATTTTTATTTTTAATGAAATCTAATGAACGCATCACCATACTGCTCCGTCAAGTAGATCATGGGAAGGAGAAGGTTAGAGGTATCTTCCACAGGGAGATTTCACAAGGCTGAATTCTGCCATGCCTTGACACAGTGACCTCTCTTGGCATAACGGCTTTTGCACCAGGTGACCCTGCCATCAGTGCAATGAATGACTCATTACAGATTTGAGTGATTCACGCTTTTCTCCCTATTGGATTGCACCATCCATCCTGGGATGAGTGAATAGATTTGGCTTGGACAAGCTGTGAAATGTACTAGCCTGGGTTTATCCATTCACTTACTTAAGAAAAAGTCTTGTTACTTTGTTAAACTTGGATTTTAATAGGAAAAATTACATTGCAGGGGGTGTGATTCAGAGCTCTGTAGAAGCCAAGAAGTTTACAAGCCTGAATTTATTTTGTGCCACTACAGCCAGTAGGACAACAGCTGAATAGGAGCAGCCAGGAATTGGTTCTTCCTTTACAATTTCACCTGTATCTTTTCCCTGGCATGTAGTGATGAGGGACAGAGCCAAGTGGCAAGGCTGAAACACAAATAGAATACTTGCAACCTGGGTGTTAGTTTTGGATCTTGTCTAGAAATAACAGCCAGAGCACACAGTGAGTTTATTGAGGCATACTGCATGATTCTGCTGGAGAGAAAGGAAGGGAATAAGAAAATTAGAAATGTTACAGAGAAGTGTTCTGTTAGACCAGGATCAAAAGGCATAGGTTCAAATCCTGGATAATTCCAAGGTACAGTTGTATTTGTTGGTCCTACAAGATACTGGAAGAAAAGTTTGAGATTTATGGCAGGAGCACAACATAACAATGTTGTCTCTGACTTCCCTGCTGAGTTGAATTTTCTCTTCTCCTGGAGTCTCCTCTGGACAACCAGCAGATTCCATAAACTGGAGTGTTACATCGCTTTGATTTTTGACACTGTACAGATTGATAGGGGTAGTTAATTCTAGATACCTTAATACCTGATATTTTAATCACGCTGTGATTAACATGAGGAATCCCTTGTTTGCACTTCAATAGCTCTGGCAAAATCAGCAGGAAGTCAAGCATGAATTTCTTGTGACAGAGTTTTGGAAATTTCCCTTCTTTGATGCTTTCTGCTGTGAAAGAGCTTCTTTGGATGTCCATGTGCAAGGCAACCCTAAAGGCATGGGTGTCTTTCCATGTCCACCCAACTCTAGGAGAGCCCATCAGCTCTGAGGTCTTGTCTCATATTCTTAACTGCTACATCCTACCTTGTTTATTTCTACCATCCCATGGATTTATTCTAACCAGGATGGGTACAAGTACCCTGACCCCCAGTTACTGTAGGAAATGAACTTTCTTGGAAATCTATTGCTGCTCAAGGACATCTTTAAATGATTTTTGTTTAGATTATGTGTCCCTAAGTCCAGCAGACTGGTGTGAGACATCAATTCCTGTATTGGCACAGAGAAGCTCCAGCACTGGGGCCTTTCAGGCCTTGCTCACACTTTGATTAGTCTTTGCTTCTGAAAGGATGTTCTGCTTCTTCTTGCGTTGTGTCACTGTCCTTTCCCCAAGCTCCTTCCTCGATAATAAGACAGCTACCAGTTGGGAAAGCAATTGCATAACTTCCCATTGCTCATTTTAAGTCACTGGATCTTGAGCTGCAGTGATTCACCCTCGCAACGCCCCAAGAAGGGGATCTGATATCACTCTCCAATTTACTGACGGAGAAACTGGGGTGTGGAAAGGTGAAGGATTTCCTTGGGGTCAGGCAGTGAGTCAGCCACAGAGCTGGTGTTGGAGCACCCACCCCAGCCCAACTCCTCAGGCTTGCCTGTGTCTAGACTTCTTCAAGCACCATCTTTGATACTGGTCTTGTCACCATCTTTTACCATGTTGTGGTTCTACCCCAGCCATTGACAAAGTACCATGAGCTGCCCCCTGCCCACCCACAGTGGGGAAGGCAATGGCAAAAAAAAAGTAATACTTGTGGGCTGAGATAAAATAGTTTATTAATTGAAATAAATTAAAATACATGACTACTAGGAATAACAATGACAATGAAGAAGAGAAAGACAATAAAACTCAAGAAAGGCATCTGATAAACAACACCGTTGCTCACCACCCACTGAGAGATGCCCAGCCTGTTTCCCAGCAATGATCCGCCAATTCCCCCCAGTTTATGCACTGGGCATGGTGTTCTATGGCATGCAATATCCCTTTGGGCAGTTTGGGTCAGCTCTCCTGGCCATGCTCCCTCCTGGTTTCTTGGGCACCTGCTCCTGGCAGAGCATGGGAAACTGGCCAGTGCTTGAGTCAGGGTAAGCACTGCAGAGCAACAGCTGAAACATCAGTGTGTTATCAACATCATTCTCAACTGAATCAAAATCACTAGTAAGAAGGAGATTAATTATTCCAGTTAAAAACAAGACATACCTTCAGCCTTGGAACCTCAACATCTCCCCTCCTTTCCCTATTTGTGAGGAAATGCCTATACCCTCAAGTTGTAACAGGGGGCCTCAGATGCTGGAGACAGAAGAAATATTCCTACCTGCTTGGAGAACATCACAACCCCCCATGCTTTTTCCTCCTCACCTTTCTCTCTCTGGTCTGATGGCCCTGTCCTCACCACCAGGGAAGGAATGGGAACTAGCCTAAGTAAATCTCAATAAAACTACACCACAGAACACAGCGTCTACACACTGGTGGCCATGTGTTTTAGCTTGGGAATTGCCAAAAGGGTAAGAAACCCATCATAGCTTAATTTCCAGCTGTGATAGCTTTGATAAAGCATCAGGGTAAAAAAACAGGGCAGAATATAAAGGAGACAGGAGTGCAGGAGGAAGTGAGGAGCTTCCATGGCTCTGGTGATGCACTGCAAGATGCTGAGGGGAGAGATATGGAGAGGAGGTTGAAAATGGGTGTCTTGAGTACTCATTCACAAACCCCAGCTGCAGCAAGCATGCATGGGGATGATGGAGCACTCACTGTGGTTCAGAGAACCCTATTGATGCTGGCAGTCCCAGACTGGGCTTGAGCACAAATAACGAGGGAAGTTTCCTGCCCCTGTAATTATGTTTGGACTTGATTCCTCACACATTATTGCTTTCTTAGCCACATTCCTGACTGCTTCTCATGTTGGCTGCACTTTCTGTACAAAATAAAGGCCCATTCACCACTGTACTAAAAAGCTCTGGTTTTTCCACAGGAAAGTTGCTGGTTAAATAAGGGGAAGAGGAAAAGCTGGGCATCTGTGGCTTTGCAGAGAAGGTGGGGAAAAAAAAAAAATCAAGGAAAGGGGTCCCTTTCAGTCCTGCAAATTCAGTCCTGCTTCTCTGCATCAAGACCTGGTGAGTCAAGGAGCTCATGGAATTTTTACCACTCATTTAACAAAAACCAGATGCCATGAGCTGCACGTGTCCTGTTAGCAGTCCTCATCTCAGATGGTACAGACTGGGACTGTTTTCATCCAGGCCATCTTTTGGAATAATCCTAGAGTGATACAGAATGTTACTGACAATGAGAAGGCAGCAAGGGTTGTTTGCTGTGTGGCTCAGTAAGTCTGTGGGCTCATCACTGAGGTTCTGTGATGGGGACTGGCTCTGCACTGGGGGGTCTCATGTCTTTTCTTTACAGCTTTCAGTGGGGACTAGGCTGCAAGGACTCTCCCAGAGCTCTGTGAGGGTGCCATAACTTGTAATGACACAAAAGAATTTGGACCCAAATGTAGATTTCCATGGAAAGAGGCTTGGTCTTGCTCACAGTACCAGCTTCAGCTAGGTAGCTTCTGGAGCTCAGGAGAGCCTCAGACTTAGCCGTCGGGGTTCAAACCCTTTGGCCTCCCAGTTTTTCTGCCAAAGCACGTACAGCCTCTGAATCAGCACGGCAGCACAGATCTGCAAGAGCCACTTTGCCACCTTGCAAGAGCTTGGGAGGGAAGGAAATCTTAACACAGGGTAGCATTCTCACATGAATGAGTAAGGCCCTGCTCAGTCTGTATCTAACTGAAGCTGGAAAAGGGTAGATATGGCCCTGCATTTTAAGTGGTGATGAAAACAGCAGAAGCTTCAGCAGGCCACATTTAATTCCTTCTTCTTATGAAGCTTCTGAATCTTTTGCTCATCTATGCAAGCAATAAGGAAAATGAAAAAAAACCACCCACGCTGTTTCATGCTGAAAAGCAGGAAAAAAAAGTTGGGTTTGAAGAGCGGGTGGAAGGGGTGTGGTTACCCAGGAGGTGTGTCAGGCATCGATGAACTTATTTATAAGCAAAGGCAGCTGTGCTGGAGAAGAAACTTTGCTGAGGCTTTGTCAGCTGCTGCTTTTTCCCTGACACCACTTGAGAAGCACCTCTACTGTGATGGGGCGGCAAAAGGATGTTCTTGCTACCATTGAGGAACACCTGAGGATCAGAAACAAATTAGTGCGGCAAGCACTGGCTGAGTGCTTGGGAACACTGATCCTGGTGGTGAGTGGGGGCTGTAGTGTGGGGGTGCTCTCTAACCTGTGGGTTTGGGGAAATTGTCCTGGTGAAGGGGCTACATTGCTGCCAGGGTTTGCATTGGGAATGAGCCCAGCTCTGGTGCAACCTGCTGCAAGGGGTCTGGAGGACAGTCTCTGTGTGCAGGGAAAAAATTCATGCATGTTGCTTAAGGGTGGACATTGGGTTTCCTGAAAAATGTGGGCTCTGAAGAGCTTGTTTGGTGTGTGTAAGCTTCTGTGTATCTGGGAAGTGCAGGGAGCAAAACATCTCTGTGTAAGCAGCAAGTATTTTGCTAGAGATCATGCAAAATTTCCTTTCTGTCTGCCCTGGAATATTTTCTTGGCTCGGAAATACTGCAAGTATTATCACCCGAGGAAGTGAAGGTGGTTTTCTTTGTTTTGTTTTGTTTTGTTTTTTCCTCTTTGCTTTCCCCAGGCATCCCATCAAGAAGAAGTAGCCAGAATTTAAACTGTTGCTGTGTCCTTTTGCTGTCAGCCCCTGATTCTCCAGGGGCTTGTCAGTGTGGCTGCACGATACCATGGCAGCTCGTGCTGACAGCCAGATGGGACCTGGTGCTTGCTATCAGTCAGTGTGTTTTTCAGTGGCCAATGGAGATAAAACTCTTCTGCCTGTTTCAGTGCTCAGTTTCCAAAAGGGTGGAATATAAGGCATAAAACAAGATAAATGTGTGTCTAATGCCTGAAGTTGCAAATGTTTTGAGCGGCTGCAATTTGCTTTAAAGGCAGATATGAACAGCTGGGAGGTTGTGTATGAGCTGTGTGGAGTAAATACTGGTGTAGAAAAATGGTGACAGAGATATCTGGCTTAGAGCATCTGCATCTGAAAATGCAGGACTGCCCAGTTTGCCACAGGTTTGATGCATATATATTGAGGCAGAAATGAGCTGGAGTTTGCACAGTGAATATCTGCAGGTACAAGTTCCTCTGAGGTGTTGTAAATCTAGAGCAATCCTGAAGGTTTCAGTAGAGTGACTGTGGGTTTACACCTCTTTGTAACTGATGGCTGAACTGCTTGGAGAGAAATCTAAGAATTTGAAGAGTTGAAGGCAGAGGAATGCTTGATGAAGCACCTGGGGAACAACACAAAGAGACTGACACAATTATATGCTTTCATAAATAAGACCTTTTTTTTTTGATGATTAAGAGAAGATTTCTGAATCTTCTATGGCAGCTTAGGGGACCCTGCTAAGACTGTGTAAAATGCTACCAGTCTTAAAGAAACAACTTTGTATAGTGCAATGGCTTTATAGTCAGAGCAACCCAGCTTTGTTGATTTGCAAACAAGCCCTGTTGATTTTTCCAAGAAGTGTTGTTTGGAATTAAGGTGGGTAGAAGATGATAAGAAAGTGATTAACAGCTAGAAGATTGCTGTCTATTAATCACTGATGTCGCTGCTGTTAGTTTCAGGATTGAAACAAGGTAAGTCTTGTAAGGTGGACTAATGCCTCCTGATAGCAAAGCTGATATTGCTGAGAAACAAGACAAATCTTTAGCCATGTGGATCTGAGCTTTCAGAAGGGCTTATGATCCAAACCCCATTAGTCCATCCTCTGACTGTGACAATTGGCACAACAGCAACTAATTCTCCAGGCGGAGAGGAATTGGGATCTGCTCAGAGCTTGAGGAAGGGTTTGGTCCAAATTATAAACAGCCTCCAAAATGGCAGTGGAAATGGGCACCCATCAGCCATGCTGGACACTGCGTTGGCAGAAGTGGGCAGCACACACCTTGTCCTCAGGAGCATCAAACATGCTTTGTTTCTGTGTGTGTGTGTGTATGTCAAAGTTTACAGGCTGAGCTTTCACTGTGTTCAGGAGTTCCTGAACTGGTTTTAGTGGCAACAGTCAACTCCATATTGTAGGATTTGCAAACTCACTTAGGATCTCCTGCAGCAGCTCTGCAGTAGACAGAGCACTGTGGAGATTCTGTGTCCATGTGGTAGAAGGTGGGGTGGGCTTGTAGGAGGAAAGGGAAAGTCCCAAACTCCGTGAATGCTCTCAAACAGTCAGAAGTCCAAAACACGCTACAGCAGAAGGAAATGTGTTCCAAGACTGCAAGCTTACAATATCCAAACCAGTTAATCCCTTTCCAACTTCATGCTGTTTCAGTCTTTCTCTTCATTCATCTTAATGAAGAGAAACTTAGAATTTTTTTCTTTATTAACACCCTTACTCCTTTTCAGCTTTTTATTATATCACTATCACCTACATGAAGTAGAAAGGGTCTTAAAGGTGAATTCCTTCCCCTTTCAGTTGGCCTGGACCATTGTTTGAATTGGATTTTCTCCCAGGACAGAATTTGTCATTTTGTACCTTGCAAAAGTCCCTACTGCCCACCCTGCCAGCAGGTTGAGTTGTGTATGCATTTAGATGCATTGTACCCCAGTAAATATCTGGTTTGATCTTCACAGTAAAATGCCTGAGGAAAGACCTGAATCCATGAAAATTTTCTTCATGGGAGATGGAGTTGACTAAACACAAATATGTTTGAATAGAATATTGTCAGGGATGAATTTAAGTGTTCACACTGAAATAAACTTCCTGAGCCCCAAGGGAGGGAGATGGTTTAAAGTTTGCAGCTTACTTTAAATTTCACTGTGTAATGTAAAACTTGTCCCTCTGTGGATATTGGCACTGCTTCAGCTTCTGCCCTCCTCCCTTTCACTTGCATAATGACTACAGCTCTCTTAAACTCTTCTAGACAAAAGGTATTGCAGGTCCCTACATAGTCTTGTCACCTGTAAGAATGAACCTAGTGCTTGATTTTATTTTTATCATGTTTTTAAAGAAATTGTGAAGTTAGAACATAGAGTGGATTGAGCTGGAAATGACTGTTTGAATAGTGCCTCTTTTTTTTTATTTTATTTTATTTTTTATTTTTTTTTTTAAGATAAGAAAAATAATCCAGCTAAGGCAGCCAAGCCCTAAGGAATGCCAAGGCGAGTTACAGTCTACTTGCAAGCCACTTTTGCTGTGCAGAGCACCTTGCAAAACTTTTATTTAGTTTGTGGGTGGTGTCTCTATTGTTGCAAAAATAGTAATGCTGACTCTACATACATTTCCTTTGATACTTAAATTGGCATTTCCCTTCTTCAAAATTCACTTTCTGAGTAGCACTTTAGGCTTGAGCTTAATACCTGTGTTGGAAGCACCGCTTGCTGGCATCGTTAAGCACTACAAACGCCAAAGGCATTTTCCCAGTCCCTTGCTGTTTATGTTATTACTGTAGCAACCCACTAAAGCCAAATTTCCATGGTGGGTCTCCGTGCCTCTCTTAAGGCTCGGTCTGCTTGCCTTGCTCTGCTAGCTCTAAGTACCAAAGCTGCCTCTGTTTGTCTTTTACATTTGCAGGAGAAATAATGTGCTGATTATGACCGATTTCTGAGTGGGACTCACTGTGAATCACTGCTTTAAAGGCACAAAGAAAGAATAAAACAACTCCTAATTGCTCTTCAGTTGGTGCTGCCTTGACTTTGTGGCTAGGTGGCAGCTTTTTGGGGCATGATGGTGCTGTAGCCCACAGAAATAAAAACGGCAAAGTGGTTTGGATGACTAAAGCAAGGGGAGCTTCATCTCATGAAATGACCACAGCAAGGGGAGCCCCACTTAGGTCTTGGCAATTTGAAATTGCTGCTCATCCCACAACTGTCTGGGGCAGCACAGTAGTTCCCACAGTTGCTGTTTGATTTGGAGTGGTTTGGTTAAACCCAGCTTGTCACATTTGGAAAATGTAATCTAAAATTTTTTTAAAAAAATTTTGTTGCTAATGCTTCGCTAGTGTGTAAAAGGGAGTGAAATTTCCTTTTTGTAAGCATATTGAGTGCTGCTGATTCTTCCTTGAAAGGAGGTACCTGGTGGGTCCTGTGCTGCTGGGTGTGGGGACATGGGAAGTGGCAGTGCTGGGCTTTCCCTCAACCCTTCCACCAGAAGAGGCTGAAGCTCTTCACTGACTGTCCAAAACTGTCCCTTCTTGCTGTCTCTTTCCAGGAGCAGGACATTTCTCCTTCCTATAAACAGGACAGTTTGGGTACTAAGAGTTTCCCTTGGTGGGAAGGCAGCTTTTTCCCAGGACTGCCCAACCTTGTGACCAAACCCCCACCAGACCTACTGGTCTTTCTAACAGCTAAAACCTCTTGATCTGGGCAATAGCAGGGAACATCAGAATAAGTGTTTTTCCTTCTGTGCATGTGTGAACAACCTAATCCAGTGAATTTCCTCTCTAATGCCCAAGCCCTCTGCTGCAGGTTGCTCAGGTTTCTTGAGCTGAGGGAGGCTCATTGCTCCAGCTATGTTTTTTTTTGTAGCATGCAATGTATGTGGGGTGCAGTTTTGCTCAGAATCTCTCATCTCTCCAGCCCTGCAGCCCTACCTTGGCTCTTGTCCAGTGGGTGGTGCACAAAGAGCTGTAACATAACACAACATCTGCTGATGCCCTTTCTGCAGGGCTGCTTCTCTACAGGCTGCCTCCAGCTGTTCTGGACAGAAAAACTGGCTGAGGGGTCTAAGGTTTCTCCTTGCGTTGTAAATTGAGAATGATGACCAGCCTGGTTGTTTGAGAGATACTTTGAGGAAAAGCATAAAGGATAGTGCTTCTTGCATTGTCTTTTTGGCTGATGGAGGTTATCCTGCCATGTGAGCTGTGGAGTTCAAGATCTCTGCACGCTGGTCTTGCTCCCTGCCTTCTCCCTATGAAAAGTGGTACCCTCTGTGTGTCCAAAACTTAAAATCATCTGTCAGTATCTCCAGGTCTCTCCTTCAAAGCAGACATGATTTGACTGACCTTCTGGCATCTTCCCATTAACAAAAGGGCATCAAGGCCTGACCACTCTTTTCCCACCAGGGTGATTAGGGTAGATTTACAGCAGGCTTCTTGCCTAATACCCGGTTTACTTGCTGGTAGAAGAGCTGTAATTCAGGTAATTGCACTCCTCCTGTTCTATGCCAGCAAAACTTTTCCACGTACATTTACAGACCAGTCTGTCTGAAGTTGAACACAAATGCACTCAGGCCTTTTGTGTTGCACCTGAAGGTGTAAAAAAGCTTTGGCAAATAGAGGACACAAGAAAGGAAAGAAACCTGGCTCTTTTGCAGAGGAGTTCTGAGCACCATGTATGAAGCTTCACATGTGAAGCTCTTTTCCACAAGGTCTGCCTAAATAGGCTGCCTTTGGTAGTCTTGTTTTTTCCTGAGCTATTGCAACTTTTTTAACCTCCATGTTTTTTTCCTACCAGCCCTTAATGGCTATTGGACTTTCATGTTTTCAGATGTTCAGACAGTGTGTTTTTAACTTGAGTGTTTGAGATAGGCTGTTTTTATCTTGAGTGACAAAGACAGCTGCTCAGTCTCCTCAGTGTGAAGTATCCCCTGCAATGTGCTACCTTTTCCTGTTATTTGCTGCTGCTTCTGTTGGTGCCTCCTTTGTACAGGGGGGTTCTTCACCCCTCTGAAGTCTGTCAGCCCTGCCACTCTTGAACCCATTCCTGCAGAACAAGCATTTAGCCCTTTTTCACAGTGCAAGAAGTTGAATTACCCTATGAGCAGTAGGAAGCCACTCGTTAGATTTGCTAGAGTCAGTAAGATGAAATTAGGGAGCAGGCTTCCATTAACCTGGTTAAAAGGTGCATTGACTTCAATTCCTTGGAGAGTGGGTTTAACACATTGGAGTGATGCTTTATTACAAGTTTTTTATTAGCACTTTAAAACCACTTTTGAACTTGGCTAGTATTGTGGGTATGTAACAGTTGACTGCTGCACCAACTGTCATGGGAGGTGCTAACCTGGGTTTCGGTTGGCTGGATATTCTTCCAGAAGTGGTTGTTTTTTTTTTTCTTGTTTGTTTGTTTTTTTCTTTTTTTTTTTTACATAAAAACAGATCCAAAATACAACTCCCCCATCAAACCAAAGCCAAACAAATGAAAAAGAGAAACAAAACCCCAACAAACCCAAATGAAGAACAAAACCACAAAACGAAATGCTGTGGGAGACAGGTTATTAAAATCAAAAGAATGGGGTGTGATCTCCCCCTTAGGTGTACACCACTGTCCCTGATTACAGTGGTACAATATTGCCTAAGAACTCTTAAATACATTGTATGGACTAAAAAGACTGGGGAAAATGCTTAATTGCTTTTACTTGACCTTCCTTGACTTTCAACTCAAGCTAGATGTTCCTGAACAGCTCTCTGTGAGCAGTGGATAAACAAAACCTAAAAAATGAAAGCTGAGGTTCTCTGGTCTCATCTGACCAGTGAAGAGGAATTGGAAGGAAAACTAGCGAAGAGCAGAAGTGAAGGTGGTGTGATTAAAAATTGTATTAGCTACTACCACAACAAAACTCTGTAGTGTCAAGGTCCTTGCCACAAAAGTCTGGGTGAGCATGATTTTAACTGATTCCTTAAAGTCAAATGCCATGGACTGCATGTCATGCATGACACTGTATTTTTGTATTTAGTGGACTCCACTGGTACAGGATGGAATTGAACACATGCATATCAAAGTTCAAATTTGTTCCTAAGTATCACTGCTCTCTTTTTATCTGCTAGGGGTTAAGTTTTCTACTGTTAATGCTGAATTAAGCCAAATAGTGCTCATGGCTCATCTGATAAAAAGTTGTAATGGTCCTGTGGAGTGGCTTCGGGGTGTTTCTGCATGGCCCATAGACTCCCTTCTGAGGAAAAGCTGGAGAGCTGCTGCCAGGTGGAGGATGGAGGAGAGAAGGATGGGGAATGACTTCTTGAGATAACCTCTTGAGAAATGGCAGATCTGGAATTCCTTCAGCTGAAGGGAAGACCTTTTTGGGTGATCAGGGAGGTGGAGGTGGGAAAATTTTACTCTGTGGTTTCTGCAACCAAAAGGTATGTGTATAATGAGCCATCCACCTGCAGATCTGCCAGATCTTGCAGAGTAAATAACACAAATACCTTCATCAGTAGGGATCATGAAGGGTAAACTCCATTAAACTCAGGTTTTGTGTGCTTGTCCCCTGCCTGGTCAGACTAATGTGCTGTGTGGCCTTTGAGAGGCAAACACCATGGCCATGTACTCTCTGAAATCTCTCCAAAGCTTGCTGGGGCTTGTTTGGGGAAAGGCAGAAATAAGATTCACCCTGGCCATTAGCCTGTATTTGTTTGCACAATTGGAGCTCTGCTTCCCTTGGTGGTTTGGGCATAGCTGTTTCAATTTGTTGCCAATAAACAAATCTTTTCTGCCTTTGTCTTGGAGTCTCCTCTGCCAGCTTGGTAAGGACATTGTAGGGGCTATTCTGACTGTACCCAGTAGAGAGCAGTGCTTGCTATCCCTCTGTCACCAATGAGTTCTGTAACAAGTTCCTTTATTTTTATACAAGGCCCTTGTGTTGGCCACCTAGTTCCCTGTCAAGAGGCACCTATTTACAGAGTGTCCACCTCATGAATCAGGCTGCAGCCTACCTGGCTGCTTTTTTCCAAGCAAGCTGAGTACACCTTTTGCTTTGTTAGCAATTCTTCAGTTGTCAAGGCTATGGGAGGGGATGAGTTATGTGTGTTTTGTCTTTGCCTCTGATTTGGATTGTGTGTTGCTCAATTGGCATGTCCAGTGTTGGGTGGAGTGTAGACAACAGCAAACCCAGCCACCTCAGTGACTATTTGGTGGTTTATCCTGTAGGAGCTGATACCACCTCTGTGGCAATTGAGTAATTTTGGGATGATGGAGTTCATGGAAGTAGAAAGTCTTTGTGGGGGTGTAGTTATGGGTATGTGGTCAGAAGAAATAAGTCAAGCCTTGATCTTTAGATTTGAGCATCTCATGAGCAGGGTGTAATCTCTGTCGTAGTTTAAGGATCCTCTCAGTACCTGCCAATGTGGTATTCCAAGTGATAGAACACCAAGGGTCAGTTCAGGTGGAGCCAGTGGGAGATACAGATGATCAGTTTCAGAGCTCTTTAAATTACATGTTGCATAGTGGAACGACTTGTCAAGATAGAAAGCCTGCAGCTGGATGACTGATTTGCTGGGGGAAACTGGTTTGAGTTATTAAGGGTGAGCATAGGAATGAAGGCTTTTAGGTGCAGCTGGGAAGAGAAGGATTATCCAGTTGCAGTGAACATATTTAACTGAGACCTTCCATACCTACTAGGAAAGAGTTTTATCAGCCAGAATGCACAGCTTTTGTCTGCCAGAGTGTTTGGTTTGCTACACCCCTGATCTTAGACAGAAGGACAAGACTGGCTGTGCTGGTGGACTCTCTTGAATATGGACTTTTCTTGATGGAGCCTGGAAGGAGAATTCCATGAACATCAGGCTGAATTTGGCCTTCTTCAGTCATGGCTGTATTTCCAGGCATTAGCAGAATTGTTTCCTACCAATCTATGTGCTACTGTGTCAAACAATTATTAGTCTTTTTAACACAGTGGTACCCACATCCCTCATCAACATAGTTATACTGTGAATATCTCAGACCAGGACAATATTTGGCTCATCCTTCTCACCTGGCATCTTAAAATTAGATGTTTGGACAAAGAATTACAGACTCCTGTAGATCCATCTTGCTTTTAATTTTATCCATGTTTTTCAGCCATCCTGCCAGGAGTTAGATTTGTCTCCCTTTCTTCTTCCCTCCCATTGCTACAGGTAATGTGTAGATACTTTGATCAAAGGTAGAAGCTGTGAAGGTTTTGAATCATGAGTGGACTATGATGGCCCATGAATGTGTAAGGAGAGCAATTGCAGGCATTGGTCAGCAACTGGCCCTGATGTGAAACAGAGAAGGTAATTTCAATCTCTTTTTCTCCTCCTAGCTCTTTGGCTGTGGCTCTGTTGCCCAAATCATTCTCAGCAGAGGGACTCATGGAGGTTTCCTGACTGTCAACCTGGCCTTTGGCTTCGCTGTAACGCTCGGCATTTTGATCGCAGGACAAGTATCAGGTACGTGTGGCTCCGTGTAGGCTGAGTTTCACTTGTGTCAGTTATGGTGTAGGCCTACTTTTCCTGTGTGGCACTGGCATGGAAGCTAGTGCCCCGTGGCACAACTCTGGGACCTACATTCTGCCCATAAAAATACACTAACCACCAACCTCTCTGCAGGTGGACATCTGAACCCAGCTGTCACTTTTGCCATGTGCTTATTGGCCCGGGAGCCCTGGATCAAGCTACCAATTTATGCACTTGCACAAACCCTGGGGGCTTTCCTTGGAGCTGGTATAGTCTTTGGGCTGTACTACGGTAAGTGTGTCTTTTTTGAGGTGAGACTGGTATGTTTATGACTCACTACAGAGAGGGAGGTTTCCATATCAGAGGGGAGCACTTGCAGTGCAGAGATCCAAGAAGCTTCCTTTCCCGTGTTTCTGGGATGGCTTTCCCGTTCTCATGATGATGGGTTCAAGCCTCCTCAAAGCAATCTGAAGGCCAACCAACATTGTCAAAGTGCAAGTCTTTGCCCTTGCGTAATGAACACTGGACCTCTGGATTGGCTCTTTTGTATCTATTGGTCTTCTAGAAAAGTCAATGAAACACTAACAGTGATGAAGGTTTTATATCTGTTCACTCTTCCAGAACCATTTTCTCATTCTTGTCTTAAAAAATGAAGTCTTCCACTGTGATGTCAAATGCATTATCTTGTGTTAGCTTCCAGATAATGTGACTTCTAGCAGATTTTGCTGCTTTTATGAGTGGTTCCATGCCTTGGAAAGCACTATACAAATCCAATTCCTCATGCCTCTATTTCTCCTGTGTGCTTTTCATCATCATAGGGGGCAAGAACTGAATTTTTATGCTGGCTCTTGCTGTTCCTCTAATATCAAGTGTGACATTTGGACTCAGACTTTGCCTCCCAGTTGTTTTTGGCAATAGGAGTGATGTTCCCTAGCTGAGTGGAGCATCTGGGTCACTGTTAATTCCAGCTGGAGGAGGAAGCTGCCGCCCCAGCACTGGCTGGAACTACTTTTCACTTTAGAAAGAAGCAAGGAGACCTACCTTCCTCTCAGTAAACATCAGGGCCACAGTTCAACACCAATTACCTTTCCAGCTGGTGAATTGAGGCCTCCTCTTCAGAAGGGATTTAACCCAGTTTTAGCTACCTAACCCATGGAAAAGCTAATGGAAAACCCATGGACATTCAGAGGTGTCTGGTTTTGTCTCCACTCACAATGAAGGAAAGGTAGTTATCCAGCTTCTACACAGTGGTAGGCAAGGCACTGGCAGCTCCAAAGACAACCTTGGGAATTGTAACTAAAAAAATGAAAGAACATACCAAATCCCATTTGCTGATCCATATCTATGTCATATCTTCACCAAGACTGATACCACAGGTGTTTGGTTACCTTTGGGAGAGAGCTGCAGTCACCTTGGTGTTTGCTTCTTGACTCTTTCTTGATGCCTGGCAAATAATTGTTAGGAACAAGGACTAATGCCATCTGCCTCTGAGCCTGACTAGTAAAAAGCTGTGGTGGATGATGCCTTGAGTTTTCCAAATAAGTGCTTGCTCTACAGCAAATTATTTCTTTTTTCTCCTTCTCTACCTCTAGATGCTATCTGGGCTTTTGACAATAACCAGCTCACTGTTATAGGAAAGAATGCCACTGCTGGTATTTTTGCCACCTACCCATCTGAGCATCTGAATGTTGTGAATGGCTTCTTTGACCAGGTAAGAGGGTGCTGGGAGGATGAAAGTGTATTTGAAAAGGAATCTTTTGGGTGGGTCTGGGCCTCATGTTTAGTTAGAAAATTAATTGCAATTTAAAGATAAGATATCCAGAAAGTTTTTTTGCAGTTAACGCAGGTATCTCACTAGCCCATAGGAAGAGCAGGGCCAGAAAGGACCTTACAGCCAGAAGACTTGTGCCGAGGCATTAACAAGTGGTACAGCACTGGTCAGGACACCAAAGAAAAGAACGCCATTTGTCATAGTCCCTGAAAAGCCATAGCGTGAGGAATGATCTCACTTCTCTCTCTTCCTCACTCTCACTCTAGTACTGTGGGTGTGGCACAGTCCAGAGGTCATTTGGGTGTGGGGTGGTGGTTGCTGGTGAATCTGACTGTCTCATAAATTTGTCATCAGTCACAAAAGGAACAGCTTCTACCCAGCCATGGCATGTGGAAAGGAGCTTTAGATGTTTCCAGCTTTTGTGACTGCCTAAATAGATATTCATAACTCTTCTGGGGGTAGGGAGAAAGGTGCAAGTTTAATTGAGGTTCTGGCTGGCGTAATCTTAAGAGAGGAGCATGCTCCACTCTTTTATTCCCATGGCTGCTGTGGTCTGATAGTGTCATGGGATGACTTTGTGCACCTCTTCCTCTTACATCCCAGAGTCATTAAATAACTTGGTTAGAAGGCTAATCTGGATTAAATTCTTGTTTTCCTTCCCCATCCCTCTCCAGTTCATTGGCACTGCCTCCCTGATTGTTTGTGTCTTGGCTATTGTTGATCCCTACAACAACCCTGTCCCCACTGGGCTGGAGGCTTTCACAGTTGGTTTTGTAGTCCTCGTTATTGGAACCTCCATGGGCTTCAACTCTGGCTATGCTGTCAACCCTGCCAGGGACTTCGGGCCTCGTCTCTTCACAGCTATTGCTGGCTGGGGCATGGAAGTGTTCCGGTAAGTGCTTGATGATGAAAACCTTGTGCAGCAAGGGGAAATAAATTATGAATCCAAATAGATGGTAGCTCTGGCGCTATAAAGAGTCTTGGCAGCCACGAGGTATCTTTGGATGCCTAAATGTTGCTAAAAGACACTGTCTGCTTTTCAGATTCTCAAGAAATTGTGGAAGCTGGGCAGCTTCCAGTGCTGAGAGCAAATGACATAACTTTGCTATCAAAGAGGAAATCTAGGAGCATCCATGGGAACTTCAGTTGCACCTTGAACATAAGCACATAATGATTTTTAAATGGTAGAAAATGAGAAGTGTTTGTTATTTTTGGAGACAATTAAGAGAGTCATGTTATCAAGGGTTGCTTTCCTGCAAGCAGCGGGAGGGAATTGAAGGTGCCTAGTGTAGGCACAACAAATGCTTCTCTCCTTTCTTAGTAGAGAGATAGTCTTGGAAATCCTGCAAGTAGCTGTTCTGAGTTGCTTGTCACTGGTACTTAAAGTGTTAGTGTGTTTGTGTGTGGCAACTTCTGCCTTGGAAGCTCTGCAGATGTGCAGGTGCTACTGTCCTGTGCGAGTGGGTGGTGATGTCTGCAGAGGGTCAGATCTTGCATGGCCCTAGATCCAAGTGCAAATATCCTGGTGCTTAGGCTGCAGTTCTTATCTTGTGCCATTTCTTTTTGTTTTCCAGGGTTGGTAAGCCCTCCCACTGGTGGTGGGTTCCAGTTGTCGCTCCTTTCCTTGGGGCAGTGGCAGGAGTGATTGTCTATCAGCTGACGATTGGATGTCATGATGAGCCTTCTCCTCCTGCCTCCGAGCAGGAAACAGTCAAGCTGGCTAATGTGAAGCACAAGGAGAGGGTCTGAGGAAGCTGCCACCTAGATCTGGCAGGTATTCATTACTCAGGACTGCAGCTGGAAAAAAGAAGTTAAGAAGAGCTTCAAGAACAACAGGAAGAGTTTTTTACCTGTCTAGTAACTTTTTTTCTTTTTTGTATATCCCTGACATGTTTGCTTTTGACATTTCCCTATGAACCTTCCTCCAAATGTAGTATCATGTAATCTTTTCCTAATAGAAGGGGATTGAGGACTGTAGGAGTCAGGAGAGAAGTGGGCATGGGCATTGTTGTCCAACACAAATCAGGTGTTCAGGAATATGAAGCTCTTTTGAGCTATGTTGCTGACATTGCCTGTGACCTTGGCAAACTGCTTCCCTTCAAACCTGTGTTCCAATCTGTAGAATGGGGATCATGCAAAACTTAAATTGTTTTGTTGGCATGGATTGGAAGCTCCTACATCCTGGAGAAAATTTGCCTGTGATTCTGTGGATCAAATTCTGCTTGATGTTGCTCTAAAGTCAGTACCTTGACACCAGGAACTAACTAGTCTAGAGGATTTTTATTAGTCAAACTTTCATATCTCATATAAATTCCTAGATATTCTATCAGTCAGCTGATCCATAATGTCAATGCAGAGAGTAAGAAAGCATTGGATTTTCATTTAATAGTAAGACAAAATGTTTACAAACAAGTACACCCTGGTGTTACAATCAAAAATTTTAGTATTACCAACTCCTAGAAGATCACATGTAGGAAATCCTTATTCTAACCAGGGCTAATCTAGACAGAAAGCTTGGCTCCCAGAAGCAGCTTTCCTAATTAATCAGCTTTGTATATAAACTGCAAGGAGCTAATAGCCAAGATCCAATGGAAACACAGTGTTGCTTCAGTTGTGTGTGTTCATGTAAATTTTACAGTGGTGTTGTTGGGTTTTTTTTTTTTTTTTTAATAGATTTATATATAAATATACTCCTTACTGTTACTAAATACCAAGGTTGGGATGAGTTCATATAGAGATGTATGGGAACTGCCAATTCTCTATCAGCTTTGACATAATTTAGGTTTTCCTGGGATGGTCTTGGATTATGGCATTGTGGTTTTTGGAGCACCTCCTTTTCTACCTTGCAGAATAACTAGGATATCCCTGGTACCCATGGCTGAGGGACTGAGGTCAGGCACCTCCTGTACTAGCAGTACTGGCATCTCAGGGGATCTCTGGCTCTTCCAACGCCATATTATTACAAAGTATTTGACAAAAAGCATTATTGGTTGGGAAAGAATTTGTAAGTCCCATGCATTAAAGAGACTTGTTCAAATCCTATTTCTTTAATGTGTGAATTCATGAAAAAATGTATCTTTGTACACATTTCTAGTCACTAAAAAGATGTATTGTTTTTTTTCCTTTTTTAAAAAATAAAATGTCGATACTCGCACTGTAAAATGCTAGTCTTTGTTGTATTTTTAAGCAGCTGTCAGCAAACTTCACCATGAAAAGGAAGTCATCTATAGCAGCAGCTGCCTCAAGCCCTTTTCCTCTTCAGCCTGACCAAATGGGAATTAACCCTTTCAGGTAGTACATCTACATGCTCCATTTGTGTTTTATGCCTTTCCCTTTTGGAGTGTGATTTTGAGGCATGTGGAGGAGATGGAGTAGCTGTGCTCAATATAGTGACCAAGGTATGGGCTGGGGTTGAGATTGTCCTGCTGTCAAGCATCTTAGTCTTAAGGCAAAAGAACCACCGAGTAAATATTTGTCCTTCACCCTCTGTACAATTTAAATTCCCTCTTCTTTCACTTAATATAGTTCTGAATGTGTTCTGCCTTCATCTACTGTCCAGCCCCATCTAGCATATTACACAAGTCAACTTTCTTTTTCTGTAGCTATGTCAGGCAAGGAAAAGTACAACAGACCTGAACACAGTGCTTACAGAATTAGACAACAACTTACCTATAAATAAAATTATTGTTGCTCTTTGGCTGGTGTGTCTACTGCTGTATTTTTCCTATATTAATTGTGCTGCCTTAAAATAACTCCTCATTTCCCACATGATGCCATACTGAAGAATTCAGTGAGGTCTGCATGAATGTGGTTTCCTGCAATTCTTCAGCTAGGAATCAAATAGCTTTTGGGAAGAAATTTCTCATGTTCATTTGATTTACTCTATGTGCAGACAGCACATTGTTTTTTAAATTTCTAATATGAAAGTTTATCCCTCAGACTCTATGTAACAGATGTGTATATTGCTGTGATCAACTAACACAGCTGCAGAATTCAATTTTCATTTCCCTTGTCTCTTTTTCTGTCTGTTTTTCTGTCTCTTTTTCTACTCTTCCACCACTTTGTATCTTCACCTATCTTGATCAATACATGAAAGTTCTTGCTGCAGATCTTAAGACTTTTGATTCAAGGTGTAGTATGGATTCTTGTTTTTTTGGTTTTTCCCCCTTTTTTTGTGGTTTTTGTTGTTGTTGTTACATTACTTACCAGATTACTCTTGCTTTTGCCTGGCATGTAGCAATCAACTTTTACTATATCCCTGCCTTACTCATGCTTCAATGACGCATTATTACCTTTATTACAATGTCAATGTCATATCAATTTCAGGTTAAATTTTCTGTTTTAACTACTGTGTTAAGCTTTAGCTTTGCTGTTGGAGAAGGACCAGGCACTGAGTAGATCCATCAACATGAGAAAAGGGGCAGGCATTTCCTGCCATCAGTGGATGGAGAGTTATGGAAAACACGGACTCCAGACGGATCTGGTCCATAGGAGACATGATTCTGTCTTTACTCTTTGCTAGCCATGTAAGGAGGGCAGTGCACAGCACAGCTTGATACATCATATTTCAAGAGCTCCTGAAGTGTTATTAAACTGTGGGGAGGGAAAGGTGTTTTCCCTGGCAGCAAACACCCTTAAATTGCTGCAAGTTATGGTTCTGCTTGTTTTCAATTTAGCTGCCTTGAGAGACTTTCTGGGTGTTATTCACCTGGCAGACCCATGCAAATCCAAACATATTTCTTTTTTTTCTTTTTTTTTTCATACATACCTAAATTCTAAAGGCAATGAATCACACTGTAGTGCCTCGCTGGAGAGGTAAGACTCGTCTGGCAAAATATAGTTATCTGGGTTTTAGGTCAGATGAACTCCAGCTGTCAAGCTATTGAAATATGCTTTGTAGGAAGAAATAAATCTACAATTAAAACTATTCCTTCTTGACAAGGAGAGTAATTTGTTGATGGAACAGAATGCTAAAAGGTGTTGTGGATTCTCTATTGTGTGAGGTTTTCAAATTAAGACTGGCTGTCTTGCAAAAATTTCTTTCAGTTAAACTGCAAGTCTCACTGGAGGAAATTCCCAGACCTCTCCACTAAAGGAGGTCAATTTGACAGGATTTGTCCGTTTTGACCACAAAACCTATGAAATTTAAAGTTTAAGATGCAAGCAGCCTAGGTTCCTCTAGGTTTCTGTCTAAGAGTATTGCTGCAGGTGCTTTGGCATTTTTGGTATACCTTGGGAAGCTCTTCCACATCTGTTTGCTCTATTCTATCTGTAAAATGGCAGCAGCAATGCTGATTTCTTTCAAATCCTGCTCTGTTTCACCTTGTGGGGGCATGAATCAAAGGCTGCTTGGCACTGCAGTGTGGATGGGAGAATAGCACAGTCTCCCTTTCTGCAGCCCTTTCATCCCAAACTGAGCTTCAGATCTTTTGGCAGTGGTGTGTGCTGGGGATGCAGGAGCTGGTTGCATTTTTTAAGCAACTCCAGGCAGGTCTGGTGGGGCTGTACCAGGGCAGGTTTCCACACATACTCAAAGCAGATGAACATTGACAGATCATCTGCTTACTGTCTTTCCTTCGCCCCATCATATACAGCTTTGTGAAGAAGAGAAAATAAAATGGGAGGAAGACAACAAGGAGAACATGCTCTCAGGCTAAAGATTTCTAACCAGGATACACCTCTGAAACTATAAGAAATATGCTTCTTGAATTGGCGTTTTTGTAGGTTGCAGGATCACTGATTGCCTTAAACCTTTTCAGGGAATTTGCCCAGTTTCCATTTACCAAATCTCCTGCTCTCCCTCGTCCCCAGGATATCCACTTGCATCCTATTAATTTCTGCTGCTGGACAGGAGCCAGCTTAATGAAGCCTTCTGGGATCTAAGAAACTTTATCTAAAATGTCCATAATTCCTCTACACTCCATCTCAAATGAAAGTGTCTTTGACTTCTTTTTCTTGCTTGCATAAAATCTTTCACTTAAAGCACGGACACAGCTCATCTGCATCTCAGTCCATGAGTCTGGCCCAGACTGGCTGGCTCACAGGACCTGCATGGCTGTGTGACACCTGGCTTTGCAGCTGGTGGCATAAGAGTGAACAGGCTCCCCTTGAGTGAAGGTAACCACCCTGGCCCAAGGGCTTTGGGATGAGACCTTCCCTTGCCTCCAGGACAGCTTACCTGCTGCCTCATATTTTACCTGCTGCCCCTGCTTGCCCAGCAGCCAGTGCCATGGATTCCCACAAGAGCTGCTTGGGTATTGGGATGACTTGGTCCCTCTCATATGTAACTCTGGTGAGGGCCAAAAATCTGCAATCTGGATATAAGATGTGAGGCTCAAGTATAACTCTTGAGGTGTTAGAACTTCCAGTGTCCTCCCATTTAACCATCTTCAGGAGGGAAAACATCCCTGAGTCCTGTAACATGCATTACATACAGTGTAGATGTAATGCCCAAGAATAGGGCGGGATAGAGAGATAGTTTGGGCTCTGGTCATGTCTTGTTGTCTTAAAAACCCTTTTGTTCCTTGAAAAGTACTGTTCATAGATTGGCTATACATCTGTGGACAGGATCTACTCTCATCTAATTTGGGACATTCTGCATTTACCCACTTCTCAGTGTCTGGAATGCCACTAGCTCATTAAATTCATCACTGTCCCTGGTGGAAACATGAGATAAGAGAGTCTCCTCTATCTCTGAGCAACAGAGCCACAAAGTGACACATTGCCAGAGCTCTCCCTCTGTCTATTTCTTTCACAGCACTCCAAGTGCTGAGCAGACATCAGACACGGCAGCCCAGCTCTGTGCCTACCCTGATGAACAGCTTAGCTTAGGAAACATACCACAGGGATGAACATTCCGATACTGAGATGATAGCTGTCCTTCCAGATGGAGGATAGAGATGATGGTTTCTCCAGACTCCAGACAAGAATGGTGGAACACTGAGATGATCTTGTGTTGTCTCTGGGTTCCTGAGGGTGTAGGGGTGACTGTGTAAGAGTGTTGGAAAACCCATCAGAGGACACAGGTGCAGAAGCTATCTGAGCTCTGCAGCATGAGACAAGCACAGTGCAAGAGGGACAAAGAGCAACTAAGAGAAGTCTGGAAGCCTACAACTCTGCTCCAACTGGCAAGTGACAACAGGAACTTCCCCTGAGACCACCTGAAAAGGAGAACTAAATTTCTTCATTGACTGTGCTGACTATGGGCTCAACTCATATGCCTAGGTGTAGGGGTCAGGAACCATTTGAGATGCCCTGGGT